CAGCTCCTGTCTGCCCTGCATGGGCCTTCTCTCCATTACCTCTCCTGGGAGATGGAGAAACTGAGTCCAGAGACCACTGGGTTGGCCCAGGGTCACACAGCAAAGGCGGCAGAACCTCTCAATACGGGGCTGCTCCTCTCTTCTCTGAGTCCTGATGGCCCCCAGGGTGGTCTGCCCCCTCCTCTCTCCCTGACGCTCTCCAGAGCTGTGGGGTTGGGGGGCAGAGAGGAGGGTTTGGGTCTCTTTAAGCTTCCTCTCCCAAGAAAATCCCCAGATCGAAGTGAGGGGAAGGGCAGCAGCCCCTGGTCACAACAGTAGGAATTGCGGCCTGAATCAGGGGCCTGGGATCGAATCCCGGCTCAGCCCCTCACTGGCTCAGCATGACCTTGACTAGGCCACTGTCCATCAGGGGGCCTCTCTTTGCCCCTCTGTGTATTGGGCCCCCATGGGGATGGTGGGGCATGCTCAGCCTTTTCCGGCTTTGCCTGTCATGGGAGAAGCCCATGCCGCTGGCGACCTGGGCTGCAGGGATAGAGAATTCTTCAGCTGGGCCAGAGCTGGGGGCACATGTGCTGTGGAGAGCTGACCCCACTTACTGATGGGGAGATTCAGGTCTAGTGGAGGGGTGTGCCCATCTTGGAGTTGGTGGCAGAGTTGGCCCCTGGGACGCCTCAGTGAAGCTTCCCCAGCACTCTGTAGCTCCTCTCCTGCCTCCCCCAGACTCCCCCAGGAGCCTCCCTTCTCCACATAGGCCTGAAAGCCCAGGACTCTCTGCCCTGTGAGTGATAAGGTATCACTCAGCCTGGGAGACAGACGCGATGGGGTCCACAATGAGGGGGCTCCTAGGGGCCATACAGGGGAGGTGGTGGGCACAGGCTGGAGGGGCCCTGGCTGGGGGTGACATGGAGCAGGCAGAGGGGCTCTGGGCATCCTTCAAATCTCCTGCCCATGTAAGATGCTCTTCTGTAGTTATCCCTATAAATGGGCCTCGCGTCCCTCCTCACTTCCTCATGGCGAGTTCACCATCTCCTGGGAAGCCCACTGGCCTCTGGAAGGCTCTGCTAGTTGATACCTGCCTCCCTCTCGGTCCTTCGCCCTGCCCTCTGGGGCACAGGGACCCAGCCTGCTCTCAGCAAAACAGGAGGAGTGGCCGGCCTCCCTCTCCCCTGCCCCAAGGCTCCTCCGGCCTCAGTGGTTCCAGGTGAGGCCCATGATTGGGAAACAGAAGATCTGGGTTCATGTCCAGCTCCACCCCTGAGCAGCTGTGGGACCTGGGCAGCTTTCTCACCTCTCTTGAGCCTCCATCCCCTGCCCTGTAAGGGTAGGCTTTTGCCTGCCTTCCCTCCCTCCCTCCCTCCCTCCCTCCCTCCTTTTTTTTTTTTTTTTTTTTTTGGAGACAGTCTCACTCTGTCAGAATGGAGTGCAGTGGCATGATCTTGGCTCACTGCAACCTCTGCCTCCCTGGTTCAAGCGATTCTTCTGCCTCAGCCTCCCGAGTAGCTGGGACTGCAGGTGAGCGCCATCACACCTGGCTAATTTTTGTATTTTTTGTAGAAATGGGGTTTCACCATATTGGCCAGGCTGGTCTCGAACTCCTGACCTCGTGATCCGCCCCCCTTGGCCTCCCAGAGTGCTGGGATTATAGGCCTGAGCCACTGTGCCTTCCCATCCCGCCACTCTCTCTATCTCTCTCCCTCCCTCCCTCCTTCCTTCCTTCTTGATGGATTCTTGCTCTGTTGCTCTGTTGCCCAGGCTGGAGTGTAGTGGCGTAATCTCAGCTCACTGCATCCTCTGCCTCCTGGGTTCAAGCAATTCTCTTGCCTCAGCCTCCCAAGTAGCTGGGATTACAGGCGCACACTACCATGACTGGCTAATTTTTGTATTTTTAGTAGAGACAGGGTTTCACCATGTTGGCCAGGCTGGTTTCGAACTCCTAACCCCAGGTGATTCATCCACCTCAGCCTCCCAAAGTGCCGGGATTATAGACGTGAGCCACCGCACCTGGCCTCTTGTGTCTGTTTCTGAGGATGACTGGGAAGATCCCGTGAGCCTGTGAGTGAATGAATATAACATGACTCGTTGATATGAACTACTTTGTGGTTACTCAAGAGCACGGCTGGGCCTGATTTCCAGACCCTCGTCAGCAGCCACTGCCTTGGGGTGCTACTTCTCTGAACAGCTGAGCCTCCCCTGTCCCTCCCTCCCCCAGGCCCCAGATCTGCTTGGGTGGGGCAGGGCTGGCTGAGTGCTAGCCCCACCATGAGGTGGCAGATCCTGAACCCACCTGACCTCGGAAAGGGCCTCTCTCTGGGTGGGTTCCAAGGCTGCCCCCTGGCAGGCACCGGGCAGTGACGAGGCAGCAGAGAGAGAGAACTGGGTGGGGCAGAGAGAGGGCCGAATGCCAGAGTTGTCCCAGGTCCAGGAGACAACAGGCTAGAGAACAGAGGTGAATGGCCACCCGGCCATGGGAGGGGCTCCACTTACAGCTGCATCCGCCGCCCGGCTGAGCTTACTCCTCACAGTCAAGTGCGCTGCCTGAGAGGAGGGTAAGCTCCCTGTCCTGGGAGACATGTAAGCAGCTGCTGAATGGCATCTGTTGGGGGCAAGAGGGGGCTCTAATACAAGACCAGGGGAAGAAATTGGACCCAGAACCCAAAGAATCCCCATTATGTGGGCTGCAGAGTGGAGGTCCCATGAGTTGGGGGTGTCTAACGGACTTTTCCCAGTAATCCCCCGTAACATCCAACAATTTCCCCCATGGGTGTGCATCAGAAAGCCCGGGGGCAAGCCCTGCCAGGCACAGCTTCAAGAGACACCTTGGCTCCCATTTCACAGCCCCTAACTCTCACTCGGGCCAGTGTTTTAAACATTGCACACGGGGACCGGGTGCAGTGGCTCATGCCCATAATCCTAGCACTTTGGGAGGCTAAGGCAACCAGATCACAAGGTCAGGAGTTCAAGACCAACCTGGCAACATAGTGAAACCCGGTCTCTACTAAAAACACAAAAATTAGCCAGGCATGGTGGCACGTGCCCGTAGTCCCAGCTACTCAGGAGGCTGAGGCAGGAGAATTGCTTGAACCCAGGAGGCGGAGGTTGTGGTGAGCCGAGATCACACCACTGTACTCTAGCCTGGGCAACAGAGCGAGACTGCCTAAAAAAAAAAAAAAAAAAATTGCATGCCGGTCCAGGCCTGTTAGCAGCTGGGAAATTGATTTACTTCATTGCACTACTTATTTTCCAAAAATGAAATTAAATAGAAAATTTCAAAATACTATGCGTGTAGTGAGGATAAATGTTATTTTGTGACACTCTTACTTCAGCTTTAAATATCTAGTTGGATGCAGTGGCTCACGCCTGTAATCCCAGCACTTTGGGAGGCCGAGGCGGGAGGATGGCAAGAGCCCAGGAGGTTGCACTGAGTTGTGATCGCGTCACTGCACTCCAGCATGGGCATTGGAGCAAGACTCTGTCTCTAAAAGATAAATATAAAATAAGTTGAAATAGCTGGATATGGTGGCTCACGTCTGTAATCCCAGCACTTTGGGAGGCTGAGGCAGGCGGATCACGAGGTCAGGAGTTCAAGACCATCCTGGTCAACATGGTGAAACCCCATCTCTACTAAAAATACAAAAATTAGCTGGACGTGGTGGCGCATGCCTGTAGTCCCAGCTACTCAGGAGGCTGAGGCAGGAGAATTACTTGAACCCAGGAGGCAGAGGTTGCAGTGAGCTGAGATCTTACCATTGCACTCCAGCCTGGGTGACAGAGAGAGACTCCGTCTCAAAAATAAATAAATAGTAAGTTGAAATAACAAACAAGGATGTTTGCTTTTACTACAGATTTTAGTCAAAAGGTTTGAAAGCTACTGTCCTGTATAGAAATCCCGGGGGTGTCCCTGAAAGAGGCTCTGATGTACAGGTTCCTGGATGTTTGGTTCCTAAAGATATAAGTGCCACAACTTCCAGGTTGCTGCTGTCCTGCCCTCAGAAGTAGCCGCCTGTCCCTTGCTCAGAGGACCACCCAGGTCCAGGCTCCCACGCTCTTCCAGAGCCCCTATGTCTCCCCAGGGCCTAAATCCCAGGCTGGGCCAAATTCCCTGCTTTCCGCTCAGCTTAGGCCAGCCCTACTCTGTCCTTGTGCTCTCCTGCTTGCCCCGTCTTCCTGGGGAACTTCTCTCTATGCCCTTATACACACACACACACACACACACGTGCACACATACACAGAGCTCAACAAAGCAGGTTTGTGACTTACCTGCTTCCCTTCAGCATACAGTAGGTGCTCAATGAATGATCATTCACTTAATTATTTATAGAGCACCCTCCAACGCAAGGCACTGTGCTGTGTTGAGACACACCTGACGCCCAGCAGGAAGGCAGATCTGGTTCCAGCTCAGGGGACATGTAGAGTGATGAATGAATGGATGGATGGATGGGGGTTGGCTGGAGTTGGAGATTCTCTGGCCTGAGGAGCCAATGGGAGGTGGTGAGAAGGGAAGAAGGGAAGAGGGGCACGCAGCACGTGGCCCCCCCCCATGGCAGCTATTCTGTCAGTGACAGTCCCTTGGGGCTGTGGCCTAGTGTTGGGTCATGGGCAGGAGCTGACTGTTTTTCCTGCTGTCTCTGGCCCTTCTGAGGCCTCTGTCTGCCGTGCCCTCTCACACTAGGTCCTGTACACATGTCCCTGCCACCCATCCTTGGGTGAAGCCAGGACATCCTCCCCCAAGCCCTTGACACCTGGGGGACACCTGGGAAGAAAAGCCTGTGCTCTGTGGAGGGTGGGGCAGAGGCTTGAACCCTCTGACATCCTGTCCTCTCTCTCCTCTGCTCATGGCCACTGTGCTCATGTCCAGTGACACAGAAGGTCTCCCGGTCACTGCTCAGAGGCCACTTCTGCTGGGACGTTCTCCCTGACTACTGTGTCAAAAATAGCTTCACCTTGGTCACAATCTGTCACATGGTTCAGCTAGACCCTTCCTGGGAATCGTGACAGGCTGGGTTATCTTGTTTGTCAGGCATTAGATGTTTAGGAAGCAGCTACTCTGCCAGGCTCTGGGAGTCAGGGTGAAGTAGGGAGGCAAAGTTCCTGCCCTGGGTGCTGTTGCAGATGAGATTGGTTGGACTGCTAGGTGCTGCCAGGAAGATCCCAGAGCTGGATGGGGAGGGAGGGCCGAGGGCCTCTTGGAACGCACAGCCTTTGAATCTAGACCTGAATGGTAGGAAGCCCTGAGCGACGGTGTCTTGGAGAAGAGAATTTCAACCACAAAGAACAGCCAGTGCAAAGGCCCCACGACAGGAGTAAACTTGGTGCGTTAAAGGGACGGGAAGGGGCTGGGTGCGGTGGTTCACACCTGTAATCCTAGCACTTTGGGAGGCCTAGGCGGGCAGATTGCCCGAGCTCAAGAGTTCAAGAATAGGCTGGGGAACACAGTGAAACCCTGTCTCTACTAAAAATACAAAAAATTAGCCGGGAGTGGCGGCATGCACCTGTAATCCCAGCTACTTGGGAAGCTGAGACAGGAGAATTGCTTAAACTCGGGAGGTGGGGGTTGCAATGAGCCGAGATCGTGCCACTGCATTCCAGCCTGGTGACAGAGCGAGACTCCATCTCAAAAAAAAAAAAAAAAAAAAAAAGCGACGGGAAAGAAGGTCTTTTTCCGTGGCTGGGGAGTGGAGGAGGTGAAGTCAAAGAGGGCAGGACCTCCCTGAGGCCAGGCTTTCATCTGGGCAGAGGCTGCGGGCGGCAAGAGTGATATGGCTCTTTGGGATGGATGGCTGGGTGAGGGGACACATCTCGGGCACCGAGATTCACCCGATTTGGGCAGGCTCCGGAGCCTGTCAAGGCACAATGATAACAACACTTGCCTGGGGTTCGGGCCAGTGCCGGGACCTCAGTGAACAATAAGCACGTGTTAGTTGTTATCCCATTATTATTGTGGTTGGGGGTAGGGAGGGCTGGAGGGTGACGCCCAGGTATCAGGCCTGAGTGACCCCCTGGGAGGAGTGACAGATGGAGGTAGGGAAAGCAGGAGAGGGGACTGGGCATCGCTTGGGCTTAGCAGTGCCGGGTTCAAGATGGAGACTCTGGCCTGAGGAGCCAGTGAGGAGTTGGTCAGAAGTGAAGAGGGGCACGTAGCACGTGGTCCCCCTGCTCTGACATGGCAGGCATTCTGTCAGTGACAGTCCCTTGAGGCTGTGGTGCAGTGCTGGGTCATTGGTAGGGGCTGACTGTTCCTGCCGCTGTCTCTGTCTCTTAGCTGACCAACGGCCACAGGGAGCAGGAGCTGAGCGGGCTTGTTGCCGCCTGGGAGGGAGATGCAGGCCCGGTGGTATTTTAAGCCACTGGACTGGATGAGATCACAGGGAGGATGGGGGGGAAGAGAAGGGAGGTGGGGCATGGAGAGGACGGAGGCAGAAGAGTGAGGGGACACCTGGAGAGAGGCCCTCAGGCCTGGAGGACTCAAGGAGGATGAGGGCCAGGCCAGAGCCTCCATCGGAACTGCTGAGAGCTTAGTAATCCCCGCAAGAAGGGCTGCAGGCCAGGTGAGGTGGCTCACACCTGTAATCCCGGCACTGTGGGAGGCCGAGGCAGGAGGATTGCTTGAGCCCAGGAGTTCAAGACCAGCCTCGGTAACCTAGGGAGGCCCTGTCTCTACCAAATATTAAAAAATTAGCCAGGCCCAGCAGCGCACGCCTGAAGTCCCAGCTATTTGGGAGGCTGGGGTGGGAGGATCACTTGAGCCTGGGAAGTCAAGGCTACAGTGAGCCGTGATAGTGCCACTGCACTCCAGCCTGGGTGACAGAGCCAGACCCTGTCTCAAAAAATGAAAGAAAAAGAGAGAAAGGAAGGAAGCAGGCAGGCAGGCAGGCAGGCTTCTGCACTGTACAGTTTACAAACCCCTGCCCGCACGCAGTGTTCTCCTTGGCAGCCTGCCTGTACACGGAGTGTTATTCCTTCCCATTTTATGGATGTGGCTCAGAGAGGTTAAGACATTTTCCCAAAGCTATGCAGCGCATGGGTGAAGTGTTGTCAGCCTTTCAGGGTCACAGTCCTTTTTGACAACCTTGTGAATGCTATGATGCTTCTCTGGAAAATATGCATGTGTGCATTCATTTTTAAACGTTCGTGTGCATTTTCCCACAGGTAATACATTCATATGGTTCTAGAATTTAAAAAGACACAAACGGGAATACAGTGGCGGTTCCTCCTCCCACCCTGTCCCCAGCCACCTGCTTTCCCTCCCCGGAGCAGCCAGTGTCACCAGCTTCCTGGGTCTCCATCCACAGACAAGCAGAGACAAGCAAATATGTGTATCTATAAATTTCTTCTCTCTCCTTTTTTACACAAATGGTAGCTACTCTACTCACCGCTTAAAAATACATCTTGAAGACCTACATTGCTCTTCCCAGAGCTCCCTCCCAGTTTTTTATGTCTGCGTGCTGTGCCGTCCGTGGACGGGCATTTGGGCTGCTTCCAGGCGGCGCCGCTGAAAGCAAGGCTGTGCTTTCCCCACGTATGAGTCTCAGGCTGGAGTCCCAGGAGGGCCCAGGGGGCGTCACAGGTGATACCACCCCGGTGGCCTCTGCCGGTTAAGGAAGGGAATGGGGCTCAAACTCAGCCCTGACTCTGTTCCTCACTCCTCCCTGCTTCCACGACGCTTCTTTTGGGAGGGCACCTGCGGGGCCCGGCCAAGCATCCCAGGGAAATCCTGTAAGTTGTGTGTGAGTGGGGGGCATTAGCCCCATTCCCCGAGGTTCTGGGAGACACCCCAGCAGCCGGCAGCACCAACTCTAGAGTCTTGTTTGCCGAGAGCCAAGGATGGGATGGGGGCAGCAAACACCACCTCACCCCCACCCCCGGCCCCACCCAGGCGCAGGGATGAGGGTCAGATGTGCCGAGGTCACGTCTGCTGCAATCTCCCTGACTCCTGTTGAGCACAGCTCCCGGCTTTCCCAGCACACTCCCTTCCATCCTGGCCCATGAGGAGCTTTCCCACTTTCTGGCTGGGGAGGGAGGGAAGCCAAGCAGAGTAGGGACTTGTGGCCACCATGCTTAGTCCTCAGGCAGTCCAGGCTGGGCAGGGCCTACTGAGCAACCCTGCTGAGAATTCCCTCTCCTGGCTGTGAGCTGGCCACCTGCCCCTGCTGCTCCTGCTCTCAGGCCGGTCCTCCTCATCTGCTCTGCAGGTTCTCTCCCATCTGTGGGGCTGCTGGGGCTGAGACCCTCTCTCCATTTTTTTTCTTTTGAGATAGAGTCTCACTCTGTTGCTTAGGCTGGGGTGCAGTGGTGCGATCTCGGCTCACTGCAACCTCCCCGCCTCCTGGTCCAAACAATTCTCCTGCCTCAGCCTCCCAAGTAGCTGGGACTACAGGCAGCAGCCACCACGCCCAGCTAATTTTTGTGTTTTTAGTAGAGACGCGGTTTCACCGTGTTAGCCAAGATGGTCTTGATCTCCTGACCTTGTGCTCCGCCCGCCTTGGCCTCGAAGAGTGCTGAGATTACAGGCTGAGCCGCCGTGCCTGGCCCACCCTGTCTCCTTATTGCACACCCTTGGCTCAGGCGGCCTCGCCCACTCTCACGGCTCAGCCTGTCAGCAGCGTTCACATCTCATGCACCGATCTGGAGGCTCGGGATCTGACGTTGGGTGGACATCTGCATTTGGACGTTCAAGGCCACTGCACACTAGAAACTGTTGCTCCCATGCCGGGCACGGTGGCTCACGCCTGTAATCCCAGCACTTTGGGAGGTCGAGGAGGGTGGATCACGAGGTCAAGAGATCGAGACCATCCTGGTCAACATGGTGAAACCCCGTCTCTACTAAAAATACAAAAATTAGCTGGGCATGGTGATGCCCGCCTGTAGTCCCAGCTACTCAGGAGGCTGAGGCAGGAGAATTGCCTGAACCCAGGAGGCGGAGGTTGCGATGAGCTGAGATCGCGCCATTGCACTCCAGCCTGGGTAACAAGAGCGAAACTCCGTCTCAAAAAAAAAAAATAAAAGAAACTGTTGCTCCCGAAAACTGGCCCTGTTTCAGTCTTCCACCACTACTGGCCATGCTCCACAACCCCCTTCCATCCCGCTCCCAGCCCACCCCCAAGCCCTGCGGACTCTTCACCCAGAATGCATGAGTCCCAAATCTGTCTCCCCTTGCGCTCCACGGCCGCCATCCTGGGAGCTCCAAGCTACTGTCATGGTCTTCTCACCAGCCTGCTAGACCTCATCACCGTGACTGGCGCTGCGCTCTCGACAGCGCAGGCTTCAAAGGCTGGCAGAGGTGAGGGCCGGGGTGCCACTGGGATTGTATAGGGAATGTTTATTTTTAATTAATTACTTATTTTTTTAATTAAAAAAAATTTTTTGAGACAGCGGTGTCACCATATTGGCCAGGCTAGTCTTAAACTGCTGACCTCAAGTGATCTGCCTGCCTTCACCTCCCAGTGTTGAAAATACGGGTGTGAGCCACTGCACCTGGCCTAATTTTTGTCTTTTTAGTAGAGACAAGGTTGTTGTTGTTTTTTTTTTTTTTTAATTTTTAACTATACATGAGGCTTAAGAGTTAAGGTTTTACCATGTTGGCCAGGCTCATCTGGAACTCCTGACCTCAAGTGATCCACCCACCTCGGCCTCCCAAAGTGCTGACATCTGCTCCCGACCTCCTGAAATATTCTATACCCCACTTTTACACAGACACACAGTTCTCCTCACCAACTCCCACTGACCACCCAAGTCTTGGCTCTGCCGCTTTCTCACGGAGGCCTTTGGAGATGCCCTTTTCCTTCAAACTGCTTTGCGCCATGCACATCCAGCCACCTGTGATGGCAGATACCCACCACCCAGACCATCTCTTCCAGCTCATCCATAAGCTGGCCGAGTCTGAGGCCTGGGTCTGGCCCAGAGCTAATGTGCGTCCATAGTAACTGAGCTTGTAATAACTGAGCGAGTTAGGAGTGTGCCCCACACTGAGTTCCAAATTAAGAGTCCTTTATTAATTAGCCGGCAATCGAGAGATGGCTAATGCTCAGAGTTCTCTCGGCCCTGAGGAAGGGGCTTGATTTCCCTTTATACCTTGATTTAGGTAGGGGAGGGGGTACCTAGCTGAGTCGGAATTTTACAGAAGCAGGGAGGAGGTTCCCAGGATTGTTGGTTACTAAGGCTATTTCCAAACAATCCCCAAAGGGGGTTTGAAGATAGTTATACACAATAGCAGGTGTGCCTGCCAAGCAAGATGCAGTTGCATTGGTTATATGGTGGGATAAGCACAGAGTCAGCATCACATAAGCACAGCATCAGTGTGGCCCAGTTATGC